TTGACCAAAGGTGCAGAGATATTTCATAACATTCATAGATAATTGCACTCGATTTTGTTATGTGTATTTATTAAAATCAAAAGATGAAGTGTGGCATTATTTTAAGATCTATAAAGCTGATGTAGAAAATCAACTTGAGAAGAAAATTAAACGTTTGCAGTCTGATCGTGAGGGAGAATATTTCTCAAACAAAATTTCTGAGTTTTGTGTGGTGCATGGCATTATTCATGAGAGGACGCCACCATACCCACCATAGTCTAATGGGATTGCATAGAGAAAGAACCGCACTCTAATTGAGTTGGTTAACGTCATGTTAGAGACTGCAGGACTATCTAAGGAATGGTGGGGTGAGTCAATTTTGACAGCGTGTCATGTCCTAAATAGGGTGACCATAAAGAACAAAGAAATTACACCATTCGATGAATGGAAGGAGAAGAGATTTAATCTTTTCTACCTGCGAACATAGGGTTATTCGGCAAAGGTGAATGTGCCAATAAACAAAAAGCGAAAGCTTAGAACAAAAACTGTTGATTATGTCTTTCTCGGTTATGCTATTCACAGCATGGGTTATAGATTTTTAATAATAAACTCTAGTGTTCCTGATATGGTTGTTGGTACAATTATGGAATCTAGAGATGCGACATTTTTTAGAGTGAATTTCCCATGAAAAATACACCTAGCACTTCTAGTCATGAATCTATTTTTCTGCCAAGGACACATGAACCAGTAATACACGCTGATGTTGAAACCCATGAAGAAATTTCCAAGGAGGATGATAATATAGTCACTCGAAAGAGTAAGAGACAGAGGGTTGTAAAATCCTTTGGTGAAGACTATATTATATACCTTGTGGATGACACTCCCACAACCATAGTTGAGGCATATTCATCTCTTGATGCTGACTTGTGGAAGAAAGCTGTTCAAGGTGAGATGGACACTATTATGTCTAATGGAACTTGAGAAGTGGTTGATTGTTCTTACGGATGCAAACCAGTGGGGTGTAAATGGGTCTTCAAAAAGAAGTTTAGGACTGATGGTACTATTGAGAAGTACAAGGCGAGGCTAGTGGCTAAAGGTTATATTCAAACGAAAGAAGAAGATTATTTTGATACTTACTCACCAGTTGCCCGTTTGACGACCATAAGCGTGCTGCTGTCCTTGGCTGTCTCACATGGTCTTCTCATTCATCCGGACGTTAAGACATCTTTCTTGAATGGAGAGCTTGAGGAAGAAATCTACATGGATCAGCCCAATAAATTTGTAGCAAAAGGTAAAGAGGGTAAGGTTTGCAAATTATTAAAATCCTTGTATGGCCTAAACCAAGCTCCTAAGCAGTGGCATGAGAAGTTTGTCAAAACTTTGACATCAGTCGGCTTTGCTATGAATGAAGCTGATAAATGTGTCTATTATCGGTATGGTGGGAGAGAAGGTGTGATTTTGTGCTTGTATGTGGATGATATTTTAATATTTAGAAATAATATTAATGTGATCAAGGAAGTAAAAGATTTTCTGTCTAATAATTTTGAGATGAAAGACTTAGGTGAGGCTGATGTTATTCTTAACATAAAACTACTGAGAGAAGGAAATAGTGGGGTAACATTTATGCAATCTCATTATGTGGAAAAGGTGCTAAATCACTTTGGTTATAGTGAATGCATGCCTTCTCCAACTCCGTATGACCCAAGTGTGCTATTAAGGAAAAATCACAGAATAGCACGGGATCAATTGAGATATTCTCAAATTGTTGGCTCACTTATGTATTTGGCTAGTGCAACAAGGCCTGATATCTCGTTTTCTGTGAGCAAAGTTAGCCGGTTTGTTTTAAATCCGGGAGATAAACACTAGCACGCTCTTGAGAGGATGTTGCGCTATCTGAAAGGAACCATGAGTTATGGCATTCACTATATCAGGTACCCGAGGGTACTAGAGGGTTACTGTGATGGAAATTGGATATCTGATGCTGATGAGATTTATGCCACAAGTGGATATGTGTTCTCACTTGGAGGTGGTGCTGTTTCATGGAAGTCTTGCAAACAGACCGTCTTAACGAGGTCAACAATGTAAGTAGAACTCACAACATTAGACATCGCCGGTGTTGAGGCCGAGTGGCTTTGTGAGCTCCTGATGGATTTACCGGTTGTTGAAAAACCGATACCGACCATTTCCATGAACTGTGATAACCAAACAATAATAATCAAAGTGAATAGTTCTAGGGACAACATAAAGTCTACAAGGCATGTGAAAAGGCGGTTAAAACCTATCAGAAAATTGAGAAACTCCGGAGTAATTGCATTAGACTATGTCCATACATCTAAGAATCTGACAGCCTCCAAGTGAGAACACATATCCACTTGTGGCATAAATCTCATCAGCATCAGATATCCAATTTCCATCACAGTAACCCTCTAGTACCCTCGGGTACCTGATATAGTGAATGCCATAACTCATGGTTCCTTTCAGATAGCGCAACATCCTCTCAAGAGCGTGCTAGTGTTTATCTCCCGGATTTAAAACAAACCGGCTAACTTTGCTCACAGAAAACGAGATATCAGGCCTTGTTGCACTAGCCAAATACATAAGTGAGCCAATAATTTGAGAATATCTCAATTGATCCCGTGCTATTCTGTGATTTTTCCTTAATAGCACACTTGGGTCATACGGAGTTGGAGAAGGCATGCATTCACTATAACCAAAGCGATTTAGCACCTTTTCCACATAATGAGATTGCATAAATGTTACCCCACTATTTTCTTCTCTCAGTAGCTTTATGTTAAGAATAACATCAACCTCACCTAAGTCTTTCATCTCAAAATTATTAGACAGAAAATCTTTTACTTCCTTGATCACATTAATATTATTTCTAAATATTAAAATATCATCCACATACAAGCACAAAATCACACCTTCTCTCCCACCATACCGATAATAGACACATTTATCAGCTTCATTCATAGCAAAGCCGGTTGATGTCAAAGTTTTGACAGTTTACAAAGGGTCTATCACACAATGTGATAGAAGGTGCGTCGAGGGAGTTGGGTTTGAGACCCACTTGAAGTCATTCCATAGTGGTAATCTGTCCTATGTGATCGGAGATCCCGTGAAGTAGGATGGTGAAACAAGCTAGTGGTTGACTGAGGAAGAGACCCCTTATGCTAAGGTCCAAATCATTTGAGATGCACTGTTTCTCCAATACTGTTAGACAGGATGGTTAATTCCTTAATGTGATCCGAGTGGCTTATTGAAGCAGGGATGTTATCCTACATAATATACTAGAAGGAACACACCTATATGAGTTCAATTGCTAGTCATAATCTATGAGATGTGGGTAATCTCTAGATACTCATGAAAGGCCTTGAAGTGCGACTTATATGCTTCAAATAGAGAGGGTCCTTGTTGCAGCCTAGTACCAGATAAGAACTTTAGTGAAACTCACCTCACACAAAACTGTCAATTTAAGGCATAGTCCATTGTTCTGCTGAGTGTAACTACTGCTCTAGATGGATGTTCAACTTAACAGTCTCTATCGAAACTCTGGTATATCAAAGAAATATGGTTTTGAGACTATTTTACTACGAACCCTAAAGTTTGGTGGAAATTATTGATATATTATGGGCTTGGCCCATATAATATTTAATAAATCAAATAAACTCTATGGCCCGTAATAATGCGCGATATATGGTTTAATAACATATGGAATTTTGACTGGACGTTGACTCGGTTTATATGGTTGGATATTGTCCATCTATATTGAGAAACTGAGAAAAGAACGTAGGTGTGCCACACACGTGGGCGTGGCGGGGCGAGGCGAGGCAGGCGGCGAGCGGACGGACGGACGGGGCGAGAATGGTTTTGCCACTCAAATCCATATAATTACGAGAGTACTCTCTTTTATGTTGGTGACGGCTTCATAGCGGAAGTTCCCTGTTACTGCCATCTGCGTCCGCACGTCTCCTCGGTCCTCTGATCTCCTCCTACGCCCCATCGCCTCCCTAGCCGCAAGCATATAATCTCAGCTCCTCCGTCATTCATCTTCTTCGCTTCTGAGACAACCACATATTCAGCTGTTCTCTGGTTCTCCCCGTCCCAGATCCTGCGCGCACACGAACTGGGAGAGTAGGCCTCCGGAACGCTCGCCGTCTTCGGGTTCGTCTGCTCGGGTGAAGGGCGGCAATCACGTTTTTGGGGAGTGTCGTGGCATGACTACTCGCTACGTCCTCTGGTTCCTGGAGGATCGTTGGTGATTGGCACGGCTTCTCCTCTGCACTGCATCAAGCGGGACGACTATATCGACACGCACTATGTCTTCGAGTGCATCCAGCTCTGCCACTGGGTATGTTTCTAGAACGAATCTTCTAAAGTCTTGGCTGTCAATCCTTAGTTTGAGTATCATCTACGTGCTCGTCACATTTAAGACACACAAGCACATATATGATGTCACCAACATAATCATTTTGTTTAATGTCTTTTTCTAGATTAAATTGCTGCTAAAATTATCTAAATATCTAACGCAATGCATAATAAAGCAGAAGGAAAGTAATCCTAAGATTACATGCATGCAAAGGATAGAAGCAAAGCCTAATCCTAGGCGGTTGCCGTAACTGCCTGAGCCCATATGCGAGTATGTCATGGCTTTGTGCGCACATGGTTTACGTGCGTGCATACGCGAGTCTGGTGCTGAAACATCCGTCTAACATATACCATATACTACATCCTCTGTAATCTCGTACCCTACATATAATTTGACCCTTCAGTACATCATGCAGAAATGGACCCAAAGAACTAGGCTTGTTATATCAGGTTTATTTATGCCCAATTTACTTCTACCAAATTGAGATATAATCCTCTCATATTTCTACTGGATAAAGTAATCAGTAACAATCTCAATATAATCATGTGTATGTCGTCCAGTCATGAAATTAATTATCCATCAACTGTTTTGGGTAGCCTGAGGCGGGTATCCGACGGCGGCTTAGATGGCTTCGGTCCTGGTTTAGGCACTCCTAGCTTTGTCTCCTCGGTGATGGCTTCAGCGGCCTGGGAGTTGCTAGCTTTGGTGTTCTGGGCGGTGCCGGTGGCTTCAGTGCTCTGGGCGGTGCTGGTGGCTTCGGTGTAATATGAGGTGGCTTCGATTTAGTGGATGATATCAGTTTCGGTGGTGACTTTAGAGTATTGGACAATGTCAGTTCTGGTGGTGGATTTGTCTGCTCCAGTGGTGGCTTCGGGGGTGCTACTGACTCCAGTGGTGGTTTTGATGTACTAGACGTTGTTGGCTTCGGTGGTGGTTTTGGGGTACTCGACGGTGCTGGCTTCGGGATACTTGGCGCTACAGACTTTAGTGGTGGCTTCGGATCAGTACTCGGTGGTGGCGGCTTTCGCGGTGGCTTCGGAGTACTAGGCATTGGCTTTGGTGGTGGCTTGGGTGTACTAGGCGGTGTCGGCTTCGGTGGTGGCTTCGGAGAACTCGGCAGTGTCGGCTTTTGTGGTGGCTTCGGGGTACTCGGCTGTTTGGGCTTCTGCTGCATGGGCGGTATCTCCGGCGTTGGCCTCGGCCTCGGTGGCTTGGGCGTTGGCCTTGGCTTGGGTGGTTTTGGCTTGGGTCCAGGTTTAGGTGGGCTTGGTGTTGGGCTATCGTGGTGGTCATCGTCGTCGTCGTGGTCATCATCATCATCGTCATGGTGGTGATGGTGATGATGATGGTGGCCATGGTGGTAGCATCTGTGGCCGCATCGATGGAAGCAAGCCGTTCTCCGGTAGCTATCTGTGGTCAGATAGAAACACAACAAATGCATTAGAAGGGTCAAGGGCTTAATTAAAATTAATCAGGAGTAGGACTTCAGAAGTATATATCCTTGCAATGAACGTACAAGGTGGCAAGTAAAGACATGAGCGGGAGGCGCAGTGGTGGTAACAAATGCCGGGCACGTAGTCGATGCAGTCCTCGGTGCACTCCACCCGGCACTCGTCGTCGTCATCGGCGTCGTCGTCGTCATCATCATCGTCGTGGTGTTCGCCATGGTCGTCATGGTGGTCATCATGGTCGTGGTCGTCGTGGTCGTGGTCGTGATCATCGTGGTGGTCGTCATGGTCGTGATCATTGGACACGGAGACTGCAACGGGGCGGATGCCATTCTTGAAGGCGTCGTCGTCGTCGTCGTCATCGTTGTACTCGTCGTCGCACTTCCTCATGCAGGACCGGCCTGTAGCACTTGTGGTACATATGGTGGTCGTAGTCCTCTCACGCCGCAGCGGCGGAGTGCGCTGCGACGGCAAGGAGGGCGGCGAGCAGCACCGCCTTGGAGCGCGCCATTGCTTGCCGCGACGTCCAAGGGGAGGTGCAGCTAACGCGATGGATCGATGGCGATGGGTACTTGTGGCCTCGCGCCGAGCTGCTCGCATATGTACTTCTGCCCCAGAGCTAGCTAGAGGTAGCCGCAGCCTGCACTGCCTGTGCTGTGTTGGATACGCAGCGCCATTTGCGCGCGCGTGGAACGCATGAGGCTGCAGACTGCCTGCAGTATTGTAGCATGCAGGAAGCGTGTGAAGCGGTTCCGAACTTCCGACACACAGACTGGGCCAACTGATATTCTCACTTTCTCAGCAATTGAGCTCCTCATCTTCCAGAAGGAAAAAGCGATGTGTACTTGAGAAGAATTGAAGAAGTAACGGTGATGCTAAATCTCAGACGCCTATTTATTTCATTATCCCATGAGAAGAAACCCCCAGCCCCCAGCTTCGGATCAAAATGCTTCTTGAAAAGAACTGAAGAAGTACTGCATTTCTTTTCTTTTTATCTCTCTCTGACTTTTTTAGAGGAGTACTGCATTTCTTGATTGCTAAACACGATGTGCAAAGAAAATTATGCATGATATAAATTTTAATGTAGATGCTAGAGTATTGTATTAATCGGAAGGTCCCTACTCATCTTTGAATCTATGAGCACATATATAGATATAAATGTTGTCCATCTTTGTCGTTATTGGAACCAATTCTATCAAATCTTCAGTTCTGGTTTCTTTTCTTGGGCATGATAACTCTTCTTATTTGCAGAACCATGTTTTACAGCTTATCAAATCAAACTTATAGCTGTTGAAAGAGCAACTATCAAAACATTAGTTTCAGGAGCAAGAGAAAGAAAGAATAAGGAACAAACTGAAACACATCTGATATGACCAACAATAGAATTACCAGGAATTGGCCAATTAATCAAAACTTCATTTGATGATATCAAGGAGCATGGCATGCACAACTCACATGTCAACCTGGCCGAGTAAACAGCCACGTCACACTGGAAAAGCCTGTTGGCCCACAGGATCACCGGCTCAGGTGAGTGAACCACTCACCAGTCTTGCTGAGCACCCGATAGTGTTGCCGAGCACCCACTAGCCGTGCCAACCACGAACAAGCGTTGTCCGTCCCCACACACTATGGCTAGAGCTAGAAGAAGAAGGGAGAACAGAGCATACACACACAGTACAAGACACCAGCGTTGGCCGAAGCCCTGTATGGGAGATGGCAAATCTGAACTCTCTTTACTGAGTTGTCGTGGAAGTCTATTTATACAACTCTATCCATTTAGTCCCAGTATAGCTGCCCTGCTGCAACAGTGACTAGATAACATACAGGGCTGACTCTGCGTCGGCCTCTGAATGTGCCTACAGTGCTGCAGGTGAGCTATGCGGCGCCTGCACCTGCAGCGGCTACATTATCACAACAGGGGGCCTTTTCGGCTCCGCCTTCCCTTGCTGTGTTCATACAAGGTAGCAGTAGATTATCTAACAATCTTCCCCTAATCCTACTGCTAACCCTTGTACCCTCTCCATGCCGATCATCTCCTTCAGCTCTGTGAGTCAAAGACGTCCGAGCGGCCGCGAGTTGCCGACCAGTTTCGATGAACTCGATGACGATCTGCCCTCCATCGACATAGTCTCTGAGGAAGTGAAACTTCACATCGATGTGTTTACTCCGGTCGTGTAGAACCGGATTCTTCGCGAGGACGATGGCGGGCTGGTTGTCCACCATCAGTGCTGGTGGGTGAGCTTCCACACCGGTCAGCTCGCCCAGCAGCCGACGCAGCCACACAACTTGGCACGCCGCTGTGGCCGTCGCTACGTACTCTGCCTCGCACGTAGATAGCGCCACCACCTTCTGTTTCAGCGACAACCATGAAATTAGAGCCGATCCGAGGAAGACGAGCACACTAGACGTGCTCCGTCGTCCATCGATGTCCCCCGCCATGTCTACATCACTGAACACAGTGAGCTGCAGCCTACTCCCGTCGGTCTTGGGAAAGATGATCCCTTGATCTATCGTCCCCTTGACGTAGTGCAGTAGCCGCTTCACCGCAGCCCAGTGATCTTATTTGGGATCCTCCATGAAGCGACTGGCGTAGCCCACGGCGAACGCAATGTCCGACCTCATATGGACTAGGTAGCGCAGACCGCCGATGATACTCTGGTAGAGTGTTGCATCCACCTTCGCCGTGGTGCTGACCTTCGTCAGCTTCAGTCGCTCCTCCATCGGAGTCACGCATGGCTTGCACTCAGCCATGCCGCTCCTCTCCAACAGCTTGGAGGCATACGCGCTCTGACCGAGTGTAAGTTCCTCCTTCCCCTATCTCACCTCGATGCCGAGGTAGTAGGAGAGTGCGCCTAGATCGCTCTTTCGAGAACGAGCCACCATCTCACGCTTGAAGCTGTTGATGTCCTCCGTGCGCGCGCTGGTGACAATTAAGTCATCTACATACACGTCGACGATGAGCTCCTCCTCCCCCCGTCGCCACGTGTAGAGCGTGTGCTCGGTTGCGTACCTCTGAAACCCAAGCTCGCCCAGTGTGGCGTCAAGCTTGGCGTTCCATGCTCGAGGGGCCTACCACAGCCCGTAGAGCGCCTTGCGTAGTCGGAGCACCCTATGCTCCTCTCCCTTGACGACGAAACCTGGAGGTTGCCTGATGAAGACCGTCCCCACCAGCTCACCATTGAGCAAGGCCGATTTAACGTCCAGGTGATGGACATGCCAGTCCTTTGCTGCTGCCAAGGCTAGTAGCAAACAGACCGACTCCATACGCGCTACTAGCGCAAAGATTTCCTCGAAGTCGATGCCCTCGTGCTGAACAAAGCCTCGGGCGACGAGGCGTGCCTTGTGCTTGACAATGGCACCGAGCTTGTCCCGCTTGACCTTGTACACCCACTTCAGGCTGATCGGACAGCATCCTGAAGGTGGATCGATGAGCTGTCAAGTCTCATTTTTCTCGATCGCCTTCATCTCCTCCAGCATCGCCCATCGCCAATTTCCGTCCCGCTTGGCTAGCACGAACATGGGTGGTTCCTCTGTACTGACGAGCAGCAGCTCTGCGTCATTAAGCAGCCGACCAGCTAGTCCTGAGGGTCCTGTGCCACCGACGATGTCGTCCAGCCTATGGAACCGCACCTCCTCACCTTCATGGAAGGCATCCATGAACTCAGTGATATCACTTAGCGGTGAGGCAAACTCGATCGGCGGCGATGGAGTTCGCTGTTCCACCGGAGTGCTCGGCATAGCACCTTGAGTGCTCGGCACCCTGGTTGCAGTGCTCGGCACTACTTCTAGACAGCTCGTCATAACTCCTACAGTGTTCGGCAACACTGTAGAAGTGCCCAGCCTCAGTCTTGTAGTGGTCAGCACCACTTCAAGACGTCTTGGCTCCACTACGGGAGTGCTCGGATCCATCCTGGAGTGGTCGCCACCACTGTAGAACCTCCTAGCACCACTCCTGGCGTGCTTGGCATCCCTCCAGGAGTGCTCGGCATCCCTCCCGAAATGCTCGGCACTACCCCAGCAGTGCTCGGCTCTACCGCTGGAGTGCTCGGCACCTCTTCCAAAGCGTCTCCACTCCCATGGATGACCAAATGCTCGACAACGAAGGTGCTGGTGAAGCCTCCCGCTTCCCTCATGCTCGGACTGCTCTAGTCCCAAGCCGCCTCCTCGTCAAACATTACGCCGCGCGAGACAAGCACTTTGTCTCCGCGTGGGTCGTAGAGCTGGTACGCCTTGGTACCCTCCGCGTAGCCTAGGAACACTATGGGTGTGCTCCTGTCCTCTAGCTTGGTGAGGTTTAGCTTCGTCTTCTTGATGTGGCCGATGCAGCCGAATGTCCGGAGGAAGGACACGCTCGGCTTGCGCCCATACTAAGCTTCGAACGACGTCTTACCCGTTAGGGCCTTGGTCGGAGAGCGGTTGAGGATGAACACCGTCGTGGTCACCGCCTCCCCCCAGAACCTTGTCGGCATGCCTTTGGCCTTCATTATGGATCGGGCCATGCCGATCACCGTCTGGTTCCGTCTCTCCACTACGCCATTCTGTTGTGGCGAGTACGACGCAGTGTGGTGTTGCCCCACACTCTGATCCGCGCAGTACGCAGCGAACTCCACCGAAGTGAATTCGCCACCGCGATCAGTCCTTAGCACACGAAGCTTCTTGCCGCTCTCGGCCTCCGCGCATGTCTTGAACTTCTTGATCACCGCCGTCGCTTCGTCCTTGCTCGTCAGGAGTTGTAGCCACATGTAGCGAATGCAATCATCCACGAGTAGGAGGAAGTACCGCTGACCATCGTTTGTAGCAGGTGTGATCGGCCCGTAGAGGTCGCCGTGGACGAGCTCGAGAGCGTCCTTCGCGCGATACTTGGCCGCCTTTAGGAATGGTAGCCTCCTCTGCTTCCCGACCAGGCAGCAGTTACACAACTCGCCTCCGTGCTTGATGTGGGGTAGCCCTCGGACCATCTTCTCCAACCAACCAAGCGCGTTGAAGCTGAGATGTCCGAACCGGGCATACCACATCCATGGTTCCTCGGAGTGCCTTGCCGCCAGGCACACCGGCTGCTCTTCCTTTAGGTCGAGCAGGTACAACCGGTTCAGGGACCTCTTCACCTTGGCAAGAAGTCGCTGCTCCCGGTCCTTGATCCTAAGGACTCTGTCCTTGATCAGTACCTCGCTACCGCGCTCATCCAGCTGACCAATGTTGATGATGCTGGAACACAACCGCGGGATATAATATACATTCATTAACGCGCGGTGCTCCCCATTCTGGCATCTGAAGATGATGCTGTCGCGCCCTTGGATAGTCACCCTTGAGCCGTCACCAAACTTCACCGTACCGGTAACATCATCGTCGTGCTCGGAGAAGGATTCCTTAGAGCCCGTCATGAGCGTATGCAGGCGGAGGAAGAAGTCCTCCACCGTTTCATCATTCTTGAACTTGAGGTTGGCGTACTCCTGCTTTAGAAGCTGGGCCGTCGCCTTCTTTACGCGGTCGTAACCGACACGCATCGCCGTA